GATACGTTGAGCCGTTCCGGAGATACCTTCTAACAAACATCAATCCGTGCGTGCGGGAGCGTTGGTGACTCAGTGGTCAAGCACTTGCAATCTGCAGGTCCTGGGTTTGAATCCCGCCATGTACCAATGTGTTTTTCGATTTCCGATTTACTTATGTACATTTATCCGACGTTCTTACGGTAAAGGAAAACATCGTGATGCAACCTGCACATATCTGAGAAGAAATTATATGTGTGAAGTCAACCAACCCGCACTGGGTCAGCGTGGTTGACTTTGGCCTAGTCACCCGTGTCTTAGGGTAGGCTCCGAGCCCCTCAGTGGGGACGTATAGTGAGCTGATGATATAAACATCTATTCATCCGTCCATCTAAACTTTCGCATTTATAATATTAGTAAGATTTTCATGTAAAAACAATGGTTTTTTAAAACCAATGATCGTTATTGTATATATCCAAAGGCGTAGACATTTTTCAACTGTTTAATTTTTAAAATAAAACACCGTTGTATTAATTAAAGGTTCATAAAACAACTGTTCCCAGTTAACCTTGTTAGTTTAGTCTCCGTACAATTTACACCATTTTATTGATTCAGCTCTGTTACAGACTGTGTAAACTTCTGTTTTGCATTTGTTTATGTTACGTGTACAATAGGTGTGATACCCGCATTAATATAATGAGGTAGACAGAGGTAGACACAACTTATATATAAATCTATTTCTTGTCAAAATTTGTTTAAATATATGTAACATTCCATAAAAATTGTCATCTCCGGAATGTCCACATCAGACGAAACGCGGAATTGCTTCCACTTTACGAATGTCTTCTGTGTGGTCGTGGTATTTCACCGGGCCAGCCGGGCCAATTCGTGCGATGTTAAAGCGGACTCTACCACTGTTATTAGAGCTATCGCTCTCGTGAAGATTACGTTACGAGCGAAGAACGAAGGATGAATGAGTGAAATTAGAACTTTTCATTTTCCATGATCCTTATTCATACTTTCGTCTCTTTTCCTATTCTTTTTCCATGTCCGTATTATGGATTTACTAATAAAATTCTGCATTGCTTTGCTTTGTTAACAGATATGTTACTAAACTTCTAAGCTATTATTAAAGGTAAAAATGTCACAATACTCAACAATTCTGTTACACTGTTAGATTTAAAATCACCCCTGTTCTAGCATAAATATTGAACAAAAGCGTCTTTACACGGCTGGATGTGTGCAAGCTAATCTTTAATGACATACACAATAGAATCTAATTCACATAGGGGGTTACAACAATTGCCTGAATCGTCAAAAGATACAACGCTATAAGGCAACCACTTTAAACAACAAAGCATCTCGGCCTCTCGATTTTAAAGGGTTTGCCGGTGAAAGACTAGTAAGGGGTCCCACTCCTCAATACTTAATCATTCAGGGGTTTGACTATGTGCGTTGTGGTTTTAGAACGCTACTAGATTATTATTAATTATTTGTGTAGATCTTTATAAAATTTATTCAGATTGAATTTCTCCATATAAAATCGATGGATTCTAGCAAGTTGAGTAGTATAAATACTCCTTTCATGAGAACTTTATCAAATAATAGATTGTATGTCAGGAAATGATAATTTCAGTTTAAATATATCGTTATCCTTGTCATTAATTTTGATAAAATAGAGATAACAATATTTTTTAAACCGAGACTTTGGTTGTAATCCACGGTTAGACTCGCTTTTTGAACGCTCGTTTCATGTATAGTTCAACAAAGTAATAAATACGTTTAAAGTAAGTAACCAAATAAGAAAGCTCAGTACCTCAACAAGGTTTGCTGACTTTTTACTTGTCTTAATGTTCCAATAACAAGTTTTAATTCAAACGAGAGTTAACAATAACAATACCAGTATTGTAATAAAAAGTTACGAGTAACGTGACAGTAACTACGTTTGAATAACGCGCCACCTGTTGGCCGGCGCCGAAACTTTATTTTCACCTTAGATTTATTGTTTGTACGTTATGGGTTTTGTAAAATGCGAAATGGTAAATATTTCGCGTCAGTAAACACGATCTGTCTTACTATATCTATTCTTTAACATTAATTTTGTGTTATAAGTATGAAAACTAGTTTTTTGTTCAAACGAAAGATGAACGAAGGATGAATGAGTGGAATTAGAACTTTTCATTTTCCATGATCCTTTCATTCTCTCGTCTCTTTTCCTATTCTTTTTCCATATCCGTAAGGATTTACAAATAAAATTCTGAATAGCTTTGCTATGTCCGTTCATCATAAAATTTATTCAAAATTATTTTAGTATTGAAAAGGAATGTCTCCGACGTCTACTTTTTTCTTTTAAAATTAAAAAGAATCACTGGCACATTACCACTTACTTATACAATAAAATATAAATAAACTTTATTATATAATAAACATTGTAAAGCTGAACTCGTAAAATCACGCAGACGCGTCTGCGTTTAGTCAGCGATCAAACGCGCGTTTACGGTAACTATGCTCCAGCTGTCATTATAACGATTGCGTGGAAACGCGCCGGAATGTGGCGGAAGCGACGCTTTGTCCTATAAATAGATCGATCTATTGTGTACAATCACAAAACTACTACTCACTTAAAAATTCTCGGGTCAGAGATCACTTCCACCAAAAAAAAATTGAGTCGAAGTTGCGATGATTATAATCATTTTACCTTGAGTTTCTGAGACCAAAATATATGTATTGAACATATCGTCATCTCTGTCATAGATAACACAGACAGAACAATATGTTTTCAACGGAGATTTTGGGCTCAGAAATCCACGGTTAGTCATTTATTGTTACTGCCACATTGAAAGTCATTTGATGGTTACTTAACTATACTGTTAGTATAGATTTTTCACACTTAATCTATACTAAGGATAGCCTTTATTTATCAATATAGCCTATTAGCCAATTCTATACAGAACCTGTATAAAATATTACTCTAGTTATAAAAACTGTATTTTATTTATTTATTATTTCCGCCACGGTGAAGTCTTAATGTGCATTAAAACCTAACAATACGTTTATGACACCTTTTAGAGTCGGAAAATTTTATATTCATCTTTTCCTAGGACCATTTTACTACCGTATGCGAAGATATGGAATGAGTATAGGAAGCCGGATATAATCGATTCCATTTTAAAATTCAAAAGTTTTCCCTTGAAGATAATCTAAGTTTATTGTTAATATTAGATTTTGATTGATTTTTCAATAAATATGAACGCCTCTCAGGCTGATTACTTCAAAATAAATATGTTATACTAGCTGTCGCCCGCGACTCCGTCCGCGTGGATATATAAAAACTTAATTAGTGTAGCCTATGTATTCTTTCAGACTATGTTCTATACGTATGCCAATTTAAATGGAGATCCGTTCAGCCGCTCTAGAGATATCTTCAAACACCCATCACATCCATCTAAACATTCGCATTTATAATATTAGTAAGTTAAATAGAAAGCAGCTCTTCAAGGCATAAATTCGAAAAAAAAAATTGAAAAAATGAATATTGTCCTGTATCCGTCTCCTGGCCCTAAGTTACCTCCTCACCAATTTTCAGCCATATCGGTAAACCCGTTCTTGAGTTATAAATAGTGTAACTAACACGACTTTCTTTTATATTTATAGATTAACATAGTAACTAAGCATTGGTTTCTGAGACCAAAATCTGTATAAAACATATCGTCCTTTGTAATTATCTTTGACAAAACAGAAAAAACCATGTTTTCAACGCGTATCTTGCTCTCAGAAACTCAAGTATTAGTCATATATTCAAGTACTTACATTAGTAAAATAAACTTAAGTGTCTAGTTGTAAGCAAACTGTTGTCAGCTTGTGTAAACAGCCTTATTTAATATGAATTCAAACAGTGTCAGACTCTGTCAATATTCAGTAAGGCTGTATACAGACGGAGTAATCTGTGACCCAATTGCCAGTTGAAGCTTAACCTCTGCGTAACGGCATTCAAATTACCAAAGCCCAGGTTTAGTTGCTATTAAATTGTAATTGAACGTAGTTTGAAACACGGTGTTCCAATACAATTGAAAACACATTTCTATTAAAATGCTTAGTTTTAAGAGATATTTCATTATGTTTTCTACTAGCTGACCCGGCAAACTTCGTACTGCCTTAAATATGTGCCAGAAATGCTGCTGCTGCAGTGGTGTTTTTCGAGTTTTTCCGGCAATAATCCGATTTTTTCTCACCTTTCAAACCTTTCCTAGACCTTGACGAACATTTCAAGACCAAGAAAAGATAAATCCGTTCAGCCGTTCTCGAGTTTTAGCGAGACAAACAAACAGCAATTGATTTTTATAAATTTTACTAGCGGACCCGACAGACGTTGTCCTGTCTATTAAAATAAAAAAAATAAAGTTAAAATTCGAATATTATTTAAAATTTGACACTGCGATGGTAGCTCCGTCTGTCGGATCCAATGTAAAACATTCCAAAATCAACAACTACTAATAAATTAAAAATTAATTAAAAAAACATTGTCCAGCGGACAAAATTGTGAATCTAAACCATTCCCAGATCCCCTTGAACACACACAAAAGATTTCATCAAAATCGGTCCATTCGTTTGAGAGAAGTTCAGTGACATACACACTGACAGAAGAATTATATATATGAAGATATTATAGTATGACTATTATTATCTATAAGTGTTCAACGTTCATTTGGTAATATATTCAGGATCTATATTTGAAACATTTTAAATTTTGAAACCACGAAGAGCGCTTGCGTTTTGAATAACGTATTAGCAACATATTATACGTTTGTAGTCCCGTAATGCAAAATGGTTCGAATTTATCCTTTGATCTTTGAACTGATAATAATATTATTCTAACTGGTCTTTGTAAGACATAAAACAGCTTTGCTTTATCCAAATATTAAACGTTTAAAAGCAGATAAGTTTTTTTATACACGTGTTCGAAAATATCTTACGTAATCAATCCAAACTTTATAATATTAAATTATGTTTTTATATTGTTTCAGGATAAATATGGCAGATCAATTGCATCGATCAACGAAATTAGTTAAAAGATGCCACATTATGAACAAGAACAAATGGAAGTGTCCCTTCCAAACATACTTTCTAGATTAAAATATTATTAAAAAGTATTAGGGAAATTATCAAGATGTCGTAAATAAAGTTAACTATCGAACTTTTAAACGAAAACATTTAAGTGTAGTTGGAATAATGATGGAGTAGAGGTCGCTGCTGTGATGGGGTGTGGTCAGAGCAAAATTAATCTTTACCCCAGGCGTAATAAGAATGGCGGGAAAGGAAATAGTGCCAAAAAATCGGGTAAGTAGCATTGATTCTTTATTCAATTAATAGTAGGTTTCTGAAATCAAAATATCTTTATAAAAAATAACGTTATCCCTGTCATTATCTTTGACAAAACAGCGATAACAATGTTTTAAAGGGGGTATTTGGTCTCAGAAACTCACGATAACTCGTACAATAATGATACTATTGTATATTTTAAAACTGCATTTTAAAGCAGTCGTTGGGTTAACAGTTGAGGTTCGCCTTACACTTATGTACAGTCAGCGTCATATAGATCGTAACAGACAAGATATGCAAATATATAGGTACATCAAAAGTAATCAATTATATCGGTACAACAAAAGTCCTCAAAATAATAGATACATTCACCCTGCTCAAATACATCGGTACATACACAGCGTCAAATATATGAGTACATGCAAGATGCTCATAAATATCGTCGCAGCCACAGCGTCATAAGTAACGAAGCAGTCAAGGTGCGCAAAAATATCGGTACATTTGACAAAATTGAACTCTATCTCTATATACTTGTGATACAATTTGGAATAAACTACTTCTGTTACATTCATTTGACACTTTGCATCAAACCATTTTTCAAAATTTACTAAAAGTGTTCGACGCGGATGACAGATATTAGGTAGATAAAACCAACATCAAATTTAAGTTTGTCATCATATATGCTAGTTTGGTCTCGTGGCCTTACCGTTCGCCGCCGTTGGTACGTAAGGTCGGCGGTTCAAATCCCAAGCCACTATTTTTTTTTTGATATTTAAACTTTTTAATTTTAATATCGAAGCACATGTAATTAAACTCTATCGCCGTAGTTATTAGGTACTTTTTGATATTGCCTTGGACTAATGAGTTTGACCGTTAAAGTACTTTTCTATTTCAAACAAAAATGAAGGAGATAAAGCGATGCTATTGGCATGTAATTTGTTTATGTTTTTTCATGTTTGTTAAACTTGTACCGATAAAAATAACACTTTTACTTTTACCTTTTACTGATACTGATTATATTTAAGAAACAAAGAAAAAAAACTGAATGTCTGAACTGAACTGAACTACATCAAATTTTTGGTCGATTGCAATAAGCATTCCAGTGTGCGTGGGCGCGCACACATATGTAGATAACACTTGTACGTATAGTTTCCGCGCGTACCATTCTTAAAACCCGCAAAGGCAATCCACGCTCCGCCCACTCACTTCACCCGCGATGGTCTGACCTAATTGTTGTTAACTTTATTTAAATTTCTTTCTACCCGACAGCGAAAATTATAAAAAAATTTGTCGAGCAAAATTTTACGTTACCAAATTTTTACTGCTTATGAAAAAATAACCCCGTGATTGATAAAATGAAAAAAGTAGCCTGAGATTCGAACCGGTAAACTTACATATTACGGCAAACATACTAGAATACTGCGCCAAACTAGTATTATATATATTGTGACAAGGCAAAATTTGATATTAGTTAATACGTATCTGTCATATTCGGCGTGACAACTTTTATATTTAAGCGTTATGACAGGAGAAGAAAAATATTGGGTTGCCCAGTAAGTTCGTGCCGCTTTATAAGGAAAATTGAAACCCTGTTCTCTTAAATTTTTGGAAATGTTTTTAAATTATATTGGTACGACTCTATACCTAAAACGTCTTTTATTATTGGATAAAATTTTAAAAATTAGTTTTTATCTCAACCAATGAAATGAAATTATTCACAATATAGAAATTTTTGTGACGTTTGATAATGGTGGAAATCCGAAAATGAATCCACTTCAGCTACAGTCTATTGTAAGCTTTATATCGAAAATCAGAACGAACTTTCCGGACAACCTATAATGTTAATACAAAGTGTCAAATGAATGTAACAGAAGTAGTTTATTCCAAATTGTATCACAAGTATATTGAGATAGAGTTCAATTTTGTCAAATGTACCGATATTTTTGCGCACCTTGACTTCTTCGTTACTTATGACGCTGTGGCTGCTACGATATTTATGAGCATCTTGCATGTACTCATATATTTGACGCTGTGTATGTACCGATGTATTTGAGCAGGGTGAATGTATCTATTATTTTGAGGACTTTTGTTGTACCGATATAATTGATTACTTTTGGTGTACCTATATATTTGCATATCTTGTCTGTGACGATCTATATGACGCTGACTGTACATCATTTTGCATTCGCTAGTAAAAATGTTTGCAGTCGTACGCCGACTGTTCGAAGGCGCTGCGCCGACTTGAAACTGTCCGTGTATTTCAACCTTAAGGGCTTATCGATTTCCTTAATAGTTTGGCATTTACCAATGAAAAAGATAAAAGATCTTTTCAGGTAATACAATCAGATTAAGAATGAATATAAAAACGTAACAAATCTAGATTTTATTATACAGTTTTAATAATTCAATCTCGGTTTTCCTTTTAACCTTTTGAGTTGATCCGCAAGATAAGTATGACACCAGATATGTGACGTCATATATACAGATGGCCCGCTTTCTTATTCCACCCTCGTACCCGCCCACCTTATTACCATTCCTATGGAACAATTCTTGGAATTAGGAAAAACGTTCCGTATAAAGAGATAGGTTAACATTGAATTTGCTTGGTTATTTAACCGTGCGTTTCCATTGATATAACACCTGGATAAAAGCATATCTTACTTCTTATTAATATTACAAATGCGAATGTTTGTATAGATGGATGTTTGTTTGAAGGTATCTCCAGAACGGCTGCATGTATCTCGCAGTTTGGCATAGATGTAGAACATAGTCTAAAAGAACAAATAGGCTACTTATTATGTTTTTTTTTTAATTCCCCGCGCAATTACTCGAGGGCGACATCTAGTTGATGATAAGAATAACAGATTTTTTCGTTAAAAAATAAGATAAGCATTTTTTGTATCAAATTTAATTTTTATTTACTTTAAAATTTATTTCTCTTTGAACACAAAACGTTTGGGGTCATAATAATATCAACAATTAGTTACTACAAATTATATTACTACTTCCTTAACATAGCGGTTGTTTTTTTATTCCAGAACACAAATTGTTAATATTTAACATCACCCACCTTAATTTCCCCTCTGAATACTCACGGGTTCACGGAAATAAGCTCGTTTGAAATACTCATAAATGCACGAGCCTTTGAATTTACTCTATACATCGTTCTAATTCCATTTGCGAGCTACATTAGTAATTTCACATTTCTCAAACTGTAATTCAATAAAATTATAATCGCTCTTTTGTTTTATATGAATTTATAAAGTTACAATTACGGTTTGAAGGTATCTAAGGAAGAACTGCATGGATCTCGTTGAAATTTGACATAGATGTAGAACATAATCTGGAAGAAAACAGACTCCTATTTTTTTTTTATTTCCGCGTAGATGTAGTCACGGGTGACAGCTAGTAAAACTACGATCTAATGACACCTAGATAGTAATAACGATTACGTTTTACCATCACATAATATTTTACTTGAAGGTCCTAAAGGCGTATATCGTTTGCGAAAAGGCCGTGAAATCGTTGTAGAAAGTGCGTCATTGCTTGCCAGGGAACAAAGGTAAGGTCCTTAAATTACGTTCCTACTACGACCAGGGAATATTAACTAGATGATATTTCTCAATGTTTTTATCACACCGTTGTATTTATGTAGATTTTTTATCAACGTAATAATATTATTTTTGTAGAAATATTAAGTGAAATTGTATTATTTTACAGTTTTTAACAGTGGTAGAGTCCGGTTTAACACCTTCGTACGAATTGGCCCGGTTCGCCCGGTGAAATCCCACGACTACACAGAAGACAGGCGTGAAGTGGAAGCTATTCCGCGTTTCGTCTGATGAGTGTGCGTCCCGGGGGCCTAATTAAGTCCTCTTTCCCTTCCCACCTTTTGTCTTATAAGGAAAGGATGGGAAGTGGACTTTCCGGATGAGAGGATGCATGGAAAGGGAATATATGTTCTTTCTGTGCATCCTCTCCTCCGTCGATTAAAGGTAGGCAGCGCGTATGCAATCGCATAAGTCTGTGGGCAACGGTCACTTCGCTATATCAGCGATTTCAGGTGGCCGCTCGCTCGTTTGCCACCTTATAATATAAAAAAATATATATTATACCGACCTAAAGTGATAATGAGATGAAGGAATAACGAAACGGAGAAGATAGTCTCTTAATAGGCAATATTCTAGATTTTGAAATCCAATCTAATTTTTTGTAATTAAAAAAAAACAATTGTTTGTGCGTCTCTTCAATGTACTAAAGTAGTTAGTACCAAAATATTGATTTGAATATTATTCTTAATCCAAAATAAATTCTAGTCAAACTTAATGCAAGAAAGTCGAATTATCTTTGTCTATAATATTTTCTATTTCCTCGTCTAAGTCTTATAACAATGATAAATATTCTATCTTAAGATTATGTCGAAATAAGATAAACTTAGCGTATCCGTAACAGTTTACTTTGACAATAAAAAACTGCGACACATTAAGAACACATGTGCCTGACTTGGTATATTGTTTTAAATCGAGGGCGTAATATCTTAACATTTTTCGCTACATTGAACGATTTTACACAATACTACATATTCGTGGGTGAATTTTGAAACATGTTTTGACAATTCTAAGGACATTTAATAAATAAACTAGCTATCGCCCGCGACTGCGTCAATGCGAATTTAAAAGAACCTTAGTAAAAAGACTATGTGTTCTTCCAGACTATGTTCTACATCTGTGCCAAATATCATCAAGATCAGTTGAGCCGTGTCGGAGATACCTTTAAACAAACATCCATCCATCCATTACAGAATTACTATGAATGTTGGTCGTAATTATTGTACGTTACTTTTAAGAACAATACTGACATTTTACGTTGAGTATTATTAGGATCATCAATATTTATTTAAACCATAATTTTTAAATTGAAAACAATCACAAAGAAACACGCTTTCATTTAAAAATTGAAACTACCACTCACAAAGAACTGTTATTTTTAAGTATAAAAAAGTTTAGTTTAAAAATAAG